AGCGGGTCGGGCGAATCGGGTGGCCCCAACGAGCAGAGCAAGGAAGAGGACGCGGCCGCAGCGTAGAGGCGGCGAGAGAGGGCAAAAGGAATGCGGCCGGTGGAGGAATCGAACGGACCAATAGCGCGACTGTTACAAGGCGATCCGGCGCGCAACCCAGAGCCGCCGCAGGAGGAATCTGGCCGAGATGGCGTCTCAACCACGGAGGGATCTAGAAGCAGACGCCGTAGAAGAAGTCCTTCGCCGACTCAATCCTCTCCACCACCGCAGCCCACCGTTTGCATACGTGGAGATGCGGGCGCTCGGGCTTCGCCCCCGGTCTTTATCCCATCGTCCCCTTGATTTTCTCGCCCTCCATCAGCTCGCTGGTCGCCCCCCGTTTCCTTCTAACTAGCATCCCTTTCCGCCTTCCCTTTTCCACCAGCTCTATTCCACCCGCCTCATCGTCAACGTCTTCCCGCATGCCACCACTCGCTCTCTCGTAACCTCTTTCCCCCTCCACGTGCTTCTATTCAGCATTGCCTGGTGCAAATATAATAATATAGAACTATATTGCATAATCACGGGTACCATTCCCGCATGCGAAGATTATGACAATTTCCGCGCCGCGATTCCCTGCACCCTCTATCCTGATTACCTCGCCTCCCTCCCCCATCAGGATCACCGTTTCCCTAGCATCCACTGCACCGTCCACTACACCCCACTCCCCACTGGAGATCGAGAATGCCGTCGCTTTCTGCCACCTCTCCCACGGACTCACCCTCCTCTTCCCCCGCCCGTCATAAGACTACCCTTCCTCGACAACCTCTAGGTTCGGAGCTCTCGAATGCCACATTGGATGACGTCCACACTCTTATCTCACGGTAAGTGGCACGTGTAAGCTCCACGTCGATCGTCGGCATATTCTATGGACCGGTGAAGGATGGGAGAGCAAGCAGGAGCTTGCTCAAGATTGGAACCCTCTGGGTGTCACATATGTGACAGACTATCTTCTGCGATGGCACGACTTTCTGCGCAGGGTTAATTCGGGGATTGAATGAACGAGGAGGGGAGGGCCCGTCAAGTTGCATAAATGCCCTCGTCTTTCGTGGTTTTGAGGCTGGTATGGTCCGTGACGGTTGGTGATGATCGCGCCTTAGCGAGTGCGGAGAATAATTGTTGCCATAGCTTCTTTCTTATTCTGTTGTGGAAAAGGGGAATTTTGGCGCGATCGTCGTGAGGGAAAATCCTTTTTGAATTTTCAACTGATGTCAAGAGCCCATGGGCTCTCAGAATTTCTTTTCTTGTATTTCCTTTTTGAAGTTAGGACTTAGGCTAGGAATTTGGGTGCATCATGATTCCGTCGACAGCTGCACTGCGCTCCTTGTTTGCGCACCCCTCGCGGTGTCAGGATCTGCGCTATGGTTTCCTTGCGCCTTAATCTTGCGTGTAACCGTAATTCTCTTCTTGGCGAGCGCAGGTGTAACTGTAATTTTCTCTTTGTTAATATCTTCGCGCCCACATATTCTTCCTAATTCGGTTGGCCTAAGCGATGCATGACTGGATCGATGCGTGGAGAGTGGCCACGACCCCCACGCCGCGGCCTGGCCATGTAGACGTAAGCACTTCCTCCTCCTTCCTCCTCCTTCCTCCTCCTTCCTTCCCAATCCCGGGTATCTCACGCAAGCATTTCCGCAAGCGCGATTAATTCCCTCTCTATGAATTTTGGAGTTAGCGCAGTCGAGAGGATCGGCTAACGAGCAAGTGTCAGAAGGTAAGTAGAGAGTTGGGCGATCCAACGAGCTGGTGCTGAGTATGCGGGGTTGACGTGGGGCCGCGACGGACTGTGGCGCACGGGGGAACCTGGCTTGCATACCAGGACTAAGCGGGGTGACAACTCTGTGTGGGCGCACGGCGGCGGACTGCCCGCATCGGGGTGTTAGGGGGGGGGGGGGGAGAGAGAGAGAGAGAGAGAGAGAGAGAGAGAGAGAGAGAGAGAGAGAGAGAAAGAGAGAGAGAGAGAGACGGGATGTGTTGGAGTGGTGCCTTTCTTCTATTTTCTGAGTAATTTTGGTATCTGGTGCAAGTCGCCATTGCTTTTGGATCGGCATCTCGGATCTTCTCTTTGTTTCGTCCCCAAGGATTGATGTGTGATTGTTTCCCCACTTCCCTCCTCCTTCTGTATGAATTGGTAATTTGATTGGTCAATCACCTACAAATGAATCTTGTACGATTAACTTTTGTATGATCTTCGGCCTGTGGCCAAAAAATTGATGCATAAATGATTGTCCTCCTTTTTGTTTATGAATGCCTTGAAACTGGATGCATGGATGTTGGGTATCTTTCCGTCTGAACTAGATGAGCAGGGTAGATGATTAGATGTTTGTCTCACGACAGGATCGCCCACCTTCGGGTTAACACACCAGCACGTACCAGTTGTGAGCCGCTGGCCCTATACCCCGACGGATGGACAGGTCTTCTGCACGCACGTGTAAGCCCGGCTAAGAAAGCATGTGACTTACACGTGTGTTCGCAAGGCCTGCACTCGGCCCAACTTTCCGAATGTTTGAGTTTCCGCCTCATCCCACAGCATGAATATCGAAATCCCCTTCCATATCACTGACCGCGAGTGTCTGAGGGATCGGGAAATCCGGGAACTTTGGGAGCACGTGTGTCTGTCTGCACGACAAGGGGAGAACTTCCGGAATTTCCATACCCAACGGGAAACGAACGTATCTGTGAATGGGATATTGATCAGGCTCTAGAACGTATTCCCCACCACCCTGAATTCCCCAGCTCGTATACGTGTCACCTCGTCACGAAACCCCAAATAATTATCCTGGAAACCAACTTCCCTCCCTATCACCACATACTGCCCTTTCATTCCCTGACCATCGCCCCCTGGCGCACAATCGCTCYCTGTTGGCCCCAACCCCCGTGCTCGGAGTGTCTGCAAGACCGCGACTGTCGAGCATCCGGCTTCATCCGGCGAACCCGCTCCGAGGAGGAACAACGGGCGCACAGCCTTTGTGTTACATGCTGCGCTTGCAACAGGCTGCACGGGCCATTTTCAGGCCCGTGTCGTTTTCAGCCCGAAAGCCTGAAAACAATGGCCTACAGCCCTTGTGTCGTTTTCAGCCTACAAGCCTGAAAACAAGGGCCTACAGGCCCTGTGTCGTTTCAGCCTAAAACAGGGCCTTCCAGACCCTGAGTCTTTTCAGCCTGAAACGGAGGGCCATTTTCAGGCCCTCACCTGCCCTGAAACTCAGTGTTGCATACTGTAACGTGCAGACCAGAACAAGAACCGACCTTTCAATACAAAGTACAGGATAACACAGCGGAAGACTTAGATACCAGTGATCCGAACAATCAATGTTGTAATGCAGCCCTGAACATACATCATCATCATGGTGTGAATGGGTCTGGCGCTTCACACAAGAAGACAGCGCCAGCCCATACCATACACAAACGAAGAGAAAGGGAATAGACGAGGAGGGGGACGATGGGAATGTCGTCAACACCAAGTCTTCGGYACAAGCCCAAATAGTCCCTCGTTGAAATGTCTGAATCCCAAATGTCAAAGTCTGGATCCAATGTCGTCACGTCTCAAGTCACAACTCTGTCTCTCCCTGTCGTAGTCTGAGAAGTCAGGTGGAGAGAGGGTGAGAAGAGAAGGTGGACTTAGAAGAGGAAGAAGAAGAATCTCTCTCTGTGTCCAGTACTAACCTATGAAGTTGGCGCCTTGATGCAGGTACCACGAAGATGGAGCTGGAGCGATGGCGCCACAGGTAAGTAACACTGGCCTCCGCCAGTCTCTCTCCCACTCTACGATCTACCACCTACCAGCGCCCAGCGCTGAAGACTACAGCTACAGCTAAGGCGCCCAGCGCCGAAGACTACAGCTAGCGATTCTACTACTTAGCGTTGGAGACTACTGCAGCGCTCCTCCTGAGTGTTGTGGCCGAATCCTGAAGACTACCTCGTGACTACTGAACTACCTACCCGTGAAGTGCATGGGAACTTCCTATGTACTACGGGTGTGCCTCCTGAGCCTGCCGAAGGGAGGCAGGGGCTGCGGCTGCAGCTCCTGCTTAAACTCGTGAGGAACAGGCTATTCTTGGCCTGTTCCGCATCCCTGTTTACGTGCTTGAGTCTTAGGGGTAGGTCGAAACAATGAGGGCCTGAAAATGGCCCTCCGTTTCAGGCTGAAAACTCTGGGTCTGAAAAGACCCAGAAATAGGCTGAAACGGGGTAGGGCCTGCAGGCCCTCGTTTTTCAGCTTCCAGGCTGAAACGAACGGGGCCTGTAAGCCCTAAGTTTTAGGCTTTTAGGTTGAATGTCCGAGACGGGCCCTGCATGGCCCGTGTGGCTACGCAGTATGCCACACCCCCCCCTCCTTGAAGAACCGAGCTTACCTGCGAGGGCGAAGCTGTCTGTCTGAAGGAGGGACCACAGTCCGGGTGGGAGGGGCTGGTCGTGAAGCTTCCTRAGCTWACCTCCGCTTTTCATAATGCGCGTAGATCAGCRRTGCGGATGCTTTCAAATCTGCGCCTGAAATCCACCGAGTGTCGTCGCGATCGCATGCTTTGAATGTGACTTTGTACTGCCGCGGCTTGCTGCCGTACTTGCGATCGGAGATGACGCGGTCAATTTCCTGATGGCCATCCATAGAAGGAGGGTCCTGCGATCGTCGGTCCGGAAAGTCGTCACTCTTGGATGGCGTGTATGTTGCCAGCTTCGAGGCGTGGAAGAGAATGGACCGTCAGATGCTCTGGAATGTTGATCACAAATGAAGGGCCATCGGGCTTATCGCCCGCGGCTGCTGTCACAGACCAAGGTCCAAACCACTTGGGAAGCAGTTTGCGTGAAACATCCTGTTCCGGTGCAAACTCTTCCGCGGAGACCCAAACCAGATCATCGGCGCGGATGGGACATGGTACGCGACGCCTGTTGGCTTGCTGCTGCATGCGGACTTGAGCCTTTTGCATATTTGCACGGGCTTGAGTTAGCAATTCCCTTACTTTCGGACGGAAGCGGGAGAGCAGGCAGCGTCAATGTCGGCTGGTCGAGGGAGGAGAAGGTCTGCGAAGATCCGGTCTTTCCGTCCACCGTGGTGCAACTCGAATGGAGTCACGCCGATCGCCGGATGCACCGAAGTGTTGTAGGCGAACTCGATGTCGGGGAGGCGGTCAACCCAATCTTTCTGGTTCAGACAGATGAGCGTACGAAGTATCATTTGAGCGGTTTGATGTGCCCGCTCCGTCTGCCCGTCTGTCTGAGGATGTCGAGCCGAACTTGGTTTCATTGTTGTGTCGGACTCTTGCATGAGAGTAGTCCAAAACGCCGACATGAAGCGAGTGTCGCGGTCGCTGACAATGTCTTCTGGTACACCGTGGCCACAAATCCAACCAGTGTGCAGGAGGCGTGCCAGCTCGGGAGCCGTGGAGTAGTACTTGCAAGGGAGAAAACGCGCGTACTTACTCAATCGGTCCACAACAGTGAGGATGCCGTCGTGCCCGAGCCGGTCGCGAGAAAACGGACCGGTGACGTCCATGGCAATGGAGAGACCGGGTTCCCGTGGGATAGGCATCGGGTGTAACTCGCCGTAGGGATTGCGGTTGCGGGGCTTGCTGCGTCGGCAAACTTCGCAAGAGTCGCAATACCGAGTGACATCGGTAACGAGGTCGGGCCATCTGAATCGCTGTCGAAGCCGTGCAATAGTGCAGTTGACTCCGAAATGGCCGGCGAGTCCTAAATCATGGTACTCGCCGAGGAGGCGAGTCCGAAGACGACGGTCCCGTGGGACACATAGTAAGTCCTTGCCTCTCGAGTGGAGGAGCAAGTACCCGTCGGCAATGCGGTAATGGCTGGCCGGCGGGTGATCCGAAGATAACTGTGCATAGAGCGTGCCGAAGTCCGGATCAGACTGATATGCCCGGATGAAGTGTTGCTGAAGCTCCTCGTCGAATGCGAAGGCATGATGTGACATAGCGCAAAGATCAGGTCTTCGCGAGAGTGCATCTGCTGCGCGATTGGAGAGGCCGGGGACATGTTTCGGTGTGAAGTCAAATTGGTCGATGAAGTACATCCATCGTCCGATCGTGCTGCTCACCTTGTCCTGCGTCTTGTAGTAGGTCAATGGATTGTTGTCTGTGACCCATGTGAACCTACGACGCCCAAGGAGGAAGTGCCATCAGCGCTTGAGAGCCATCACGAATGCGAGCAGCTCCTTCTTCCTTGCATCATGAAGCGAGTTGATGGGAGGCACTTTGTGGCTGAAATACTCCACACGGTGCCAGTCGTCGCCGTCGTGTTGTTCCAAGACTGCCCCAATGCCATAGCCGGAAGCGTCCGTAGTCACTCGCGTCGGCAGGGTGGGGTCATAGATGCTAAGGACGGGTGCCAGGAGCATAGCCGTCTTAAGTGCTTGGAATGACCGGCGTGCGTCGTCATCGAATACGAATGGCACCTTTGGCGACTCTAACCTCGTCATAGGTGCAGCAATCCTGGAGTATCCGGTGATGAATCGGTGATAGTAGCCCGCCAACCCCATGAATGAACAAACGTCTGTGGTGTTGGTGGGCTCGGGYCATACTCGTAGGGCCTCGATCTTGTCCGCAAGCGGACGGATGCCTTGCGGCGTCACATAGTGTCCCAAGTACTCCAGCTCCTGCTGTGCGAACTCGCACTTGTCGCGGTTTGCTTTGTACTTGGCTTGTCGTAGCCGCTCCAAAACGGTGCGCAGGTGTTCCACATGCTCGTCCAAACTCCGACTATACACCAAGATGTCGTCGAGGTAGATGAGTACAAACCGATCCAGCATGTGTCGGAACTCCGTTGTCATAGCGGCTTGGAAAGTGGCTGGGGCATTCGTAAGGCCAAACGGCATGACCAGCCATTCGAAATGCCCATACCGTGTCTTGAACGCTGTCTTGTAGCGATCCTCCTTGCGAATTTCGCGTTGGTGGTCTTGACTTGAGATCCAGCTAGAGAAGAACTAGGCGTCGCCCAATCGCTTGAGAAGGTCGTCGATGCGTGGGAGAGGGCCGGCATTCCTGATCGTCTACGCGTTGAGCTTGCGATAATCGATGCACAACCGCAGGTCCTTGTTCTTCTTCCGGACGAAGAGAACAGGAGCACCGTATGACGATGAGCTAGGACGAATCCAGCCTTTCTCCAGAAGGTCGTCGAGTTGTGCCCGAAGCACACTTAACTCTTCCTCGCTCATTCGGTAGATGCAACCGCGCGGAGGTACGGCCCCGTCCTCGAGGATGATCTCGTGGCGGATGGGTCGATCCGGTACTACTCCGTGCGGGCCTTCGAACACGTCGCTGAAGGCGTCGAGAAGTTCGGTGATGCGTGGATCCGAAGGTGAGTCCTTCGATGAAGCGTCATGTGGCAGGAGGGCGTGGAGAAAACATACCCCCATCTCCTCAATGTCGTCTCTGATGATGGAAGCTCACATGCTTGCGGCGGATACCACGTGGCAGCTGATCGAAGGATGAGGAAGAGGCATCGTGCATGGAACTAGTACTCCGTTCCGATCACGAACGTGAACGGTGCAGTTGAAGAAGTTCACCGAGTGATCCTTGCTTCGCAGCCATGACATGCCAAAGATCATGTCGAATTTGGTGTCCAGAATGTCAAAGGACACCGCCTCACTTGCGTGAGGGGCAAAGTACACTAGGACAGCGTCAATGCACCGGTCGATGGACTTGTGCGTATGACCGTCTGCCAGAGTGACTTGCGTAGGCTGGGACTTCCTCCGGACACGTGGGCCAAGGCCGGCGCGTACCATGAAGTCCTGGATGATGTAGTTGCGAGACGCTATGCAATCGATCAAGGCACTGCAGGTCGCCTCTCCAATCTGAATGCGTACGTATAGCAATGGTGCGTCGATGTCGTCGTACCGTTGCATCTTGAACTCGAGGTCGATCTTTGTGATGTAAGCGTGAAGGTCGACAACCTCTGCTACGGCGTCCATCAACGGAGTTGGTACTGCAGTGTGCAAGTAGTCCCGCAATTGTGCCATGAGCACATTGCAATGCGGTTTCGGCAATCGTTCGGTCGAGGGAACGGACATCCACTAGAAGTCCGTGAACGTCAACGGGTCGAGCTCTTCAAGTCTCTACCATGACGTCGAATCCCCGGCGATAGATTGCGGCGAAGCTGCCGAATCGGTTGCCGATGGTGATGAAACCGTGCATGCGGTGGACTGTTGCACGTGGAGCGGTTGGTCCAGCGGTGGAACCAAGTGGACAGCATAATCCTCGTAAGTATACCGAGGACTTGCGACATTCGCGTTCTCCCCAGATGTGCAGGAGGCCCCTAGCAAGGCGGCCGAATCTGGCGGAGTGGAAGGTGGAGTCGCCTCACCATCCGCGAAGCTCAGTTTCCCGAGTCGAGGTGGGGGCGCACATCCTCCTTGCCCTGATCCTGGCACAGGGAGGTCTTGTGCTTGGTGCTGTTGCACCAATAGCAGCTGCCGTAGTGGCCGCGGACTTTGTACTCCGCCTCGGTCAAGCCGAACTTGACCCATGGAACTTGTACCGGCTGTCCATTTCCTGCCTGCGATGCGGATTTCGCCTTCCCATTGTTGCAGGACTTGTTGTTGCTTCGTGGCTGGACAGCAGCCACCTGATCTCCGTCACTTGATGCTGGAGTGGCTGCTGGGTTATCTCCACTGTCCGACTGGACTGCAGCGAAGTGCTGCTGTTGCGGACCATTTCGTGCCTTCTCCACATAGGTCGGCTGCCAAGCTGATTTCTCGTGTGCAGCTGACCTGTTGGTCTTGATGATCTCTCGCGCCTTGTTGATAATCTCGGCGAAGGTGGCGTACTGCTCGCGATCACCAAGAGCCTGGCTCAATGCAGCACAAGACCTGTTGTAGAACTCACGCCTAAGATGAGTGAAAGGCAGGTCCAGATTGGGCACTGCCGCAATCTTCTGCCACTCTGTGAGCCAATCCCGTGTTGCAGTGTTGCCCTGTGACATGGTGAACAAACGGTTGATGGCGAGTGCCGGCGCGTCGTCGACGATGAACCGCTTCTTCCACAGCCGTGTCAATTCTTCCCATGTGATCTTGTCCTTGAGGTCCGGTACGTCGACGCCGTGGGAGGTTGCCAGGTGGGTCAACCAGGTCTAGCATCCGCCCTTTGAGTTCAGGAACAGGGCGTCGATGTACTTGTGCTTAGCGACAGGCAGAATCCTGAGTTGCGTCGTGAATGCCTCCCACCAGAGGGTCGGATCCTGCTGCGTGTAGTCGTCGAACTTTTCCAGTTGGAAAGTTGGCATCTTCTGATTGCCATCTGCGTTCGTCGACTGCAGCTGTTGGACCTCGGTCTTCAAGGTATGCAGCTGAGTGCTGATGGTGGACAGCGCAGCGAAGGTGTTAATGTCGCTGAGCATTGCCAGGATGTGGTCAACGCGTTCCTCCAGTTGGCGGCTAGAGGGTGCGCTGCTGGAAGCCCCAGCAGTTGGTCCTGGTACAACCTATTCTAGGTCCAGCAATCGGGCATTGAGTGCCCGAGTTGCATCCTCGTGGCACTGCACTGTGCGGCGGAGCGTCGCCAACTCCTGATGCTGTTGCGTCAGGTCCTGGTATTGTCTCTCCAACTCTGGTCGTTGGTAGTTGCAAGCATACAGCAACCGTGTCACGAGTTTGGAGAGGAACTCCTTATGCTGCTCTTCCGGTGTTGCCTTGTCGCCGTTCGGTTCAAAATGCCATAACTTGAGTCTGTCGATGCTTGTGGCTTCATGCCGCTGTAGCAGATCCTGGGCTTCCTTGCGGCGAGCCTGGGAATCTGCGTCTGCATCGGCCTGTAGCCGCAGCTTCTCTGCTGCTGCGGCCTCTTCAGCCTGTACGCGGGCAGCCTCGACTGCCAGCAGGCGTTGTTCCTCAGCCTCTATCTGAGCCAGGCAACGCTGCTTGTAGGCGGCAATGGTCTCATTGGCCAGTTGGCCTGGCAGGCCCGTCATGTT